TGCAAAAACGCATGATCGCACCGGCTCGCCTGGTGCGTTCCAGCCTACGTTGCTGGCTGTAGCAGCGCTATAGCGCTGCACAGCAAAAACGCATAAAAATAACTGGTTTATTTCAAATATTCATAAAAAAGTACTTGTTTCCTTCGCAACGACTCGCTCTTTGCTTCCGCAGCTTCCTGGTCACTTACGTTCATAACTGGCATGCTCTCAATCCTCGTCATTGAATCTCGCCTCACTTTTGCGGTCTGTCGTCGATGCTCACTATGCGCAGCATGTACCGTATTAGCTGACTGTCTGGCAGATTCTTCATTGAGCATTACGAGAAAGACAAAACTATAATAAAATACAGATTAAATAAAGGGTGAAAAAAGTATGAAAGATTTTTGTGAACTTGGCAAAATGGTCGCTCAGTGCTTTATTTTATACAAGCTATCCATTTTGTTGGCAGTAAAACACTGCCAACAAAACAACCTTTGAAATCTGTAAATTATAGTGCCGCATCAAGAACTGAAAGATGCATCAGTAAGGTGACCTAAGGGCCCAGCATCCACGATATCATACTTTTGACCAATATCAGGCAATTTTTCCGTGCTTCTAAACTCGAAAAGCTTTTTGGCCAGCAGAAAAAACAATTAATAGCAGAATGCGTCACGAACGACATATTTGTGCAATAAGCTGCTTGCTGGTTCCACTTCATGAATAAGTCGTTACATAGAGGATTATTCATGATAACTTTTTATGTAATGCAGCGCATAAAAAGTGTCTGATTTTTATATTCATAATCTGCGTACTTTCGTTTGATATTTTAATATTCATCTGCATTTGGATAATATTACTGTTCAAACAATTATCTGTGCACATCAGGACTGTCGTCGTGATCGCGCGTTTTCGCTCAATGTTTTGTGCAGCATCGTTAACAATAAAAGCATAATTGCTTTACAGTTTAGTATGTGCAATCATTAAGAAAAATGTTGGTCTCTTCTCCCACATCCGGAAGAAAAATGCATTGGATAAGCCGTCGTTGTAGCACGGCGGGGTTTTATGAAATTTCATCTTTCTAACTTATCTGATTACTATAAAAAATGCCTGCAAACTGAACTTTGATGTGCCCACATACATTATGTGTTTGAGGACAAGTACCTGGGCAGCAAACATTTGAGTAAAATGCAGCTCAGTTCGTCTCTTGAATTGTTCTCACCTAAACTTTGTTATTTCCAGACATAGGGACGCGCAGAAACTAATTTTACACTTTTAGACCCACAAACAGACAGGAGTGTCCTTTGAAAAGTTTTGATTTCTAGCCTATATGATTTTTGAGAGAGAAAAATGCTAACAGTTTTATAATCTGCTTTCCGGTTTTTTAAAATTTAATACAGATGTACACGAAAGTTTTAAATCTGTGGAACCGCGCATAGTCAGTAGTCATTCTCATAACAATACAGCTTTTTGCTCAGTCTGGTCCCCGATTAAAAAGATGTTAAACAGTGCCCGAACTCAAAAATTCGTTTGTCTAAGCGGTAAGTGTGTGTGTGTACTTGCGCGTGTCTGTCCGGGTACTTCAGCTCGGTAATGAGGTAGGCTTAGATGCACAAATTTTACAGGTGAGTTCCTTGGCTAGATGCGACTCCAAGACCGTGATATCAATTTTTACGCGCGACTGAATCTCACGCACAGAAGA